GTGGCAGGTAGTGCGCTCCAGGACTCGGGTGTTCACCAGTTCACCCCTGCCTACGAGCGTGTGACTCACTGCACGTGTGCTCGGACGGGCCGCCACCTAGCTACTTTCACTCGAGAGCCGGGGTCTGACCTGTACACACTGACCACTGAGTCCCCTCAGGTAGCTGCGTCTGCGTCAGCGTCAGGTCAGCTGTCCGCCCCCTGCTCGTGTCGCTCTCTGGCGAACGACACCGTCCTCTGGCACCACCGCCTTGGTCACCCGTCTGTGCAGCGCCTGCGGGCCATGCACAAACGGGACCTTGTTGCTGGTCTTCCCAGGGTGCTCCCTCCCCTTCCTGACTCCCCTGCTCCTGACTGCATTCCCTGTGTCGAGGGGCGGCAGCGCGCCGCTCCTCACTCCTCCTCCTTTCCCCCGACGACCGCTCCCCTGCAGACGCTCCACATGGACGTGTGGGGCCCGGCCCGCGTCCGTGGTCAGGGTCAGGAGAGGTACTTCCTGATAGTTGTTGACGACTACTCGCGCTACACCACGGTCTTCCCCTTGCGCGCCAAGGGTGACGTCCCTGGTGTTTTGATCCCCTGGATCAGCCGAGCCCGTCTCCAGCTAGGCGAGCGCTTTCACTCGGACTTTCCTGTCCTGCGCTTGCACTCTGACAGGGGTGGTGAGTTCGCCTCCGACCTCTTGGCAGCCTACTGTGCTGAGCACGGCATTGAGCAGTCGTACACGCTTCCGGCCTCTCCACAGCAGAATGGGGTTGCTGAGCGCCGCATTGGCTTAGTCATGGAGGTCGCTCGTACCTCCCTGACCCATGCGGCTGCTCCCCACTTTCTGTGGCCGTTTGCGGTCCGGTACGCAGCGCATCAGCTCAACCTCTGGCCCCGTGTCTCCTTGCCGGAGACTTCCCCGACTCTACGGTGGACGGGAGAGGTTGGCGATGCGTCGCGTTTCCGGGTCTGGGGATCTCGAGCTTTTGTCCGCGACATGTCCGCGGACAAGCTCTCGCGTCGCACTGTTCCCTGTGTCTTTCTTGGCTTTGTTCCCGACGCGCCTGGATGGCAGTTTTACCACGTCACCTCGCGCCGGGTTCTGGCCTCTCAGGACGTCACTTTTGACGAGTCCGTCCCCTTCTACCGCCTCTTCCCCTACCGCACTGCCCCGCTCCCCCCCCCGCCTCTCTTCCTCGCTCCAGGTGCTGAGGTACCAGACCCCCTCCCCCCTCAGGGTGCCGCTCCCTCAGGTGTGTCCCAGGTAGACCCGGGTGAGCCTGTCGAGGTAGCTGTTGACTCGCGTCCTGCGTCTGGGGGTGCTGAGCCTGGGAGTGCTGCGTTTGAGGGTGCGGAGCCTGGGGGTGCTGAGCCTGGAGGTGCGGAGCCTGGGGGTGCTGAGCCTGGAGGTGCGGAGCCTGGAGGTGCGGAGCCTGGAGGTACTGAGCCTGGAGGTGTGGAGACTGGGGGTGCTGAGCCTGGAGGTGCGGAGCCTGGAGGTGCGGAGCCTGGAGGTGCTGAGTCTGGACGTGCTGAGTCTGGGGGTGCTGAGTCTGGGGGTGCTGAGCCTGAGCGTGCTCCACCTGGAGGAGCCCCCTCCTCCCAGCAGCTGCAGGAGAGGTACCTCGAGTACTGCCGCCTCCGGAGAGGTGCTTCTGGAGCTCGTCCCGGTACTTCCCCTCCTACCCAGGAGCTCCCCCCCATTCAGGTGATCCGCGAGTGGTACACGCGGCGCTGCAGTCTTCGTAGTGGTGCTCCTAGTACTACGGACCCGAGCGGTGGTACTGTTGCTGGTGCTGAGGACCCGGACGCTGGAGCTGCTGCTGGTGCTGAGGACCCGGGGGCTGGAGCTGCTGCTGGTGCTGAGGACCCGGGCGTTGGAGCTGCTGCTGGTGCTGAGGACCCGACCGGTGGTGCTGCTGCTGGTGCTGAGGACCTGACCAGTGGCCCTGCTGCTGGTGCTGAGGACCCGGGCGTTGGAGCTACTGCTGGTGCTGAGGACCCGACCGGTGGTGCTGCTGCTGGTGCTGAGGACTCGGGCGTTGGAGCTTCTGCTGGTGCTGAGGACTCGGGCGTTGCGGCTGCCACTGGTGTCCCTGCTGCTTCTGGAGACGCTGCGCGGCCGCGACCGTACTTCGTACCGCTCCTTCAGCAGGTTCTTGGTCAGGCTCCTCCTCCTTGTCCTCCTCCCTCCGTCGAGTGTCCTCTGCCTGTCCAGCAGCAGTCACAGTTACCGCCTGTCTCGCCTCTCCCTGCTCCCTCCCCTTACGCTGGTCCCACAG